ATTTGTTTTTTAAAACTTTTGCCCAGTTTCTAAAAGTGTTTTTTTTTTTTTTAAAGTTTATATATTTTTGAGAGAGAAAGAGCAGGGGAGGAGCAGAGAGAGAGGGGGAGAGAGAGAATCCCAGGCAGGCTCCACACCATCAATGTCAGCATGGAGCCCGACACGGGGCTCGAACCCATGAACTGTGAGATCATGACCTGAGCCAAAACCAAGAGTTGGACACTTAACTGAGCCACCCAGGCGCCCCTGCCCAGTTTTTAGTTTTAAGTGGGACAGAGGCTCTAGTGGGCTTATACCACTGTAGCCAAACTAGAAATCTGGTTTGTGGCACTTAGAAATCTTGCGGTATTTTTAAAAAATTATTTTCTTTTTTCAAATTATTGTAATACATACGACAAATATATGTAAAAGTAGGAACAACAGTTTGAACCAAGATGTTATCACCCTGATCTGCCTGTGTGGCATAGAACTGAAAAGGAGGTGGGATTGGAAAGTTCGATCTGGTTGCTTCATTGCGTGTTACTACTTTGTCTGGGGTTCCCCAGGAGCTGAGGAGAACCTAGCTGTAAATAGCATTTGAAGTGCCTGTGGCTAAAAGAAATGTGTGTGGGAATATTCCAACGTCATCCTTAAACCAGCATTTGGATGTTTGTGTTAGTAATAAGTCTGGAAGGTACATCTTCTTCACACCTCAAAGCAATTTAGTTTTTATTAGGTCCATTCCTTACCAGGACCTGGCTTAAGTTGAGTGACAGTTAAGGAACAAGGCTTGGATTGGGGAGGGAAGAGACAGAAGGGCTTTAGTTTGCAAGCGTAGGGCACAGGCTGAGGTTGCAACCCTTTCCATTGTTACTTACAGATTTAAGATGATGAGGAAGCAGACAGGGTAGTTAGAAGGGCCAGAAGATAAATTTTGTCTGACGCTGCTAATAATGAAGTGAAGGCTTTTGGGGAAGAGGTTCACAGAGCGGGGCAGAGGGAGGAAGTGGGGGATGATTTCCTGAATTCTAGGAAGGACAGTAAACAGCACGTACTTAGTTTTGAGAGAGAGAGAGAGAGAGAGAGAGAGACACGGAGGGAGTGCATGAGCAGGGGAGGAGCAGGGATAGAATCTTAAGCAGGCTTCATGCTTAGTGCAGAGCCTGATGCAGGGCTCAGTCTCACTAAGGTGAGAATCATGTCCTGAACTGGAATCAAGAGTCGAATGCTTAACCGACCAGGCCACCCAGATGCCCCATTTTTTTTTCTTTTTAAAGTTTTTTTTTTTTTTTTTTTTTTTTTTTTTTTTATTTCAGCAAATACTCTTTGCAAGGAGCCACTGATCATTAAAATATACTTTGGGGCACCTGGGTGGCTCAGTCAGTTGAGCGTTCACCTTCGGCTCAGGTCATGATCTCATGGTTTGTGAGTTTGAGCCCCACATGGGGCTCGCTGCTGTCAACACAGAGCCTGCTTCAGATCCTCCTATCTCCCTCTCTCTCTCTGCTTCTCCCCTGCTCACTGAACTCTATCAAAAATAAATAAACTTTAAAAAAAATTTTTTTAAATATACATAGATACTTTGGACTATAGGAGTTGTTATACTCTGTGACTCTCAATAGCTGTGAAACACTTAAAGTAAGGCGTATAATTATATCTAGGTGAAAATGGTCACTACTTTTGTTACCATAGTTTAGTATTGGTTATGCTAATTTCATAACCTGTGGAATTGTTTTAGTAAAAGGAATTATTTGTTTCTTGAAGGTTAGTTGAAACTCACCCCTAAAATTATTTTTTCTTGGGACCTTTTTCATGTTACACCTTTACATTTCAAGTTAGTTCTATGCTCTCTTAAAGTATTATGTCCTTTTAAAAGATCAGTTTGGAAATTACAGTGAAGTAGAAATCTAACCATTGTCTCTAGATTCTCTGTTGCATGGAATTGTGTATAATGTTTCCTTAAGCAAAAATTCTAAAGAAAATGTGAGCAAATTGGACCTAGTTATGTAGTAAAAGAGTAATATGCATATCTGAGTCGGGTTTATTACATAAATTCTAGGATAATTCGTGTTAGGAAAGATATCACTATAATTTAGTATGCTAATTAAAAAAGAAATACATGGTCATCTTATTAAATACTCTAAAAAAGCCTCTGAAAAAAATTAGCAGGCTTTTCTAATGAAAGTTTAAGTCAAATAAAAATGATAGAAAACTGCCTAAACATGGCAAAAGCTACTTACCAAAACACAATAGCAGATATAACTATTTATAACCTATTTCATTGGTTATGAAATATCAATACTTATTAAACACCAAAACCATCACCATGAAAGCCAGGGGCAGTATCAAAATTCCCGCCTTTCCACCTATTACATAGCCTAGCTTTACTGGTTTGGGCAAATAATGCAAGCTTAAATTCTTTATTCTCAGAGGATATAGATCTAGAAAACCTGAGAGACTCATCTGAGTGCCTTAGCACCAATAAAAAAATGTGGTAAAGTGGCTGGGTACCAAGAAGATAGATAAACCAGTAACTTTTCTTTATTTTGCAATAAATAGTAAAGAATGGAAGTAAACCAGAACAGAATGTTTTCTCATGTTCTATATATGAAATATTTGCATTACCATGCTTTTAAAAAATGAGAGCTTACTGCTTTTGCAAAGCTCAATAAAAAGATGTATGATTTGTCAATTTTAAGAGCATTATGAAGATTAAGTGAGATGAAACATTAAAAAATTTTGGAAAATCATCAAGCTCACCTTTATAGCATATTGAGCGAGAAATTGTGGAAGAAGAGAATAGCAGCTAATTTCTTTTTTTTTTTTTTAAGGTTTATTTATTTATTTTGAGAGAGAGAGTGCACATGCATGCAAGAGAGAGAGGGAGAGAGAGAATCCAAAGCAGGCTCCACGCTCAGGGTGGAGCCCAGCAAGGGTCTAAGATCTCAGGATCCCCAATAGCAAGATCACAACCTGAGCTGACATCGAGTCGGAGGCTTAACCTACTGAGCCACCCAGGTGCCGTAAAGGGAATTGGCAGTGAGAAGTGGCCTGCCTCAAAACGGGATCCACAGACCCCCACTTAAATATGGTGGCTTGACCACATGTATCTTTTCTTCTTCCATCACATCTGCAGTGATCGCAAAGGAAGCACAGCAGTTGTTAACACATAGGGAGAAAGATAATAGTAGAGAAGATAGTGAACAAAAGATCTGAAGAATTTTTTGGAAACAGAGTGAATAGAATGGTAACCGAGTTCAGAGGAAGGTACAACCTAGTGCCTACCGAAAGGGGGCAGAGATGAGGGACAAATCAGCAGCCCCCAGGAGTGTCTTGACAGGATTCAGAGTGTTTGGTGGCTGCCAAAGGCAGAGGTCAGTTTTGTAGCTGAAACGGAAGTTCTTGAAAAGTCTGTGTCCAGATCTTTTGGAATGTCTTCTGCATCCCCAGCAAACATGATTTCTTCAGTCCCATTTTTCCTGGGGAGATGGGTCAAGCACTAGAACCAGAGATGCTTCTGACCAGAAGAGTAAAGGTCGGGGCTGAAAATATAGGGAGTAGGTCTTAGTGTACATCCGGAAGTATAGCCCTTCACTTACTCCTGCCTTTTCTACTCCTCCCCAAAAGCCAGCACCCTCCCATACACTTCTTTCTGGCAAAACTGAGCAGCTTGAATGAAGAGACCTCTGCGTACTGACATTGGAGGTCTCCGAGTGATATGTGACTGTCATCTACAGCAGTCCATCAATCAAGAGAACTGGCATCCATGCTGATTTTTTTTAGTACCTCACTCTTAAATATGAGGAAGCAGCCAGGGATCACCAGATAGATGAGGAAAGCCTCAAAAGTGACAGAGACCCAAAACAGTCGGCCAACAAACAGAAAAGGGAATCAAATGATGTAAGAAACAGAAGAACATGAAAGAGCAAAATACTTCCTTCCCACCCAAAAAATCCGGAGAGTAAAAGGTGTTGTGTCCGTTAAAAAAATGACAGAGTACTAGGAATAAAGAGTTAAGAACAAGAAAAAGCTTTTGGAAGTTTAAAGATATGATATTTGGGGGAAAAATCCATGGACAGATTAAAATAGGAAATTCAAGGGTATTAGGACAAGGGACTGTAATTGTAAATATCTAAAAGTAACTAAATTTTTTAATGTATGAATATTTAGTACTCATTTTTTAACTGTATGCCTCTGCCATGTTGGAAAAGCAAATACTAATTTTGGATTATTTTAGTTGGGGAAGAAGACGAGGTTCACCTTGGCTATTCATGAACAGATAACGCCTGATGGGGATTTTGGAGCATTGGGTTTGTGATTGGTATTCTGGACAGACATTGACATAGGATACGTTGTTTATGGCCTTTCTCAAAATCTCTCAGTAGTGATTGCAGACAGTGTTTTTCATGGGTGGAATGCAGGCTGTGGAGTTCGCTATCCCTGCTCCGATCCAGCTTAGTCACCAGATGTGTGATATTGCTTGAATCACTTCATCTCTCTAATTCTCATTTTCCTCATCTGTAATAAGGGCATGGTAATACCTGTCTGTCTTACTGATATCATAGGGCTATGATGATGAAGAGATTTAAGAGCTATAAATAACCCAGAACAGTGTGCAGCTTGTATTAAGTGCTCATTAAAAGAAGCTGCTGTTACAACCATCAAGCAGATGGACTAGTATATGTAGATAGTTAAGTAAAGGCGTACATTTAAAGAGTAACAAGTAAAACCTCAGTGATATAATAGGCTGTTCTGAGCGAATGGTATCACTCTCCAGACTGAAAGCTTCACATTCCCCAGTGCCCGCCATTGTAGCTGGCACTAAGAAGCTGCAGAGAATGAATGAATGAACCCCTTAATTGTAACTTTCATTTTCATATGGAACAGCACTAGTATCAGTTTCTGATCATTAAAGACTGCATGTCAGTGTGTTTATAAGTGTATAGAAATGAAGTTTTCATAAACTTAAATGTTGCATTTCAATTACAGGCGTCGATTAGCAAGGTAAAAGTAACAGAACCATGGCTCAGTTTCCAACACCTTTTGGAGGTAAGTTCTCCGAGATTTTCCTTTTGTAATGTATTCCAGATTATTTATATATATATATATATATATATATAT